GACAGTCTCTTTAACAAATGGTGCTGGGAGAACTGGACAGCAACATGCAGAGGGATGAAACTAGACCACTTTCTTACACCATTCACAAAAACAAACTCAAAATGGATAAAGGACCTGAATGTGAGACAGGAAACCATCAAAACCCTAGAGGAGAAAGCAGGGAAAAACCTCTCTGACCTCAGCTACAGCAATTTCTTACTTGACATATCCCCAAAGGCAAAGGAATTAAAAGCAAAAATGAACTATTGGGACCTCATGAAGATAAAAAGCTTCTGTACTGCAAAGGAAACAATCAACAAAACTAAAAGGCAACCAACAGAATGGGAAAAGATATTTGCATTTGACATATCGGACAATGGGCTAGTATGCAAAATCTATGAAGAGCTCACCAAACTCCATACCCAAAACAGAAATAATCCAGTGAAGAATTGGGCAGAAGACATGAATAGACACTCTAAAGAAGACATCCAGATGGCCAACAGGCACATAAAAAGATGCTCAACGTCGCTCCTCATCAGGGAAATACAAATCAAAACCACACTCAGATATCACTTCGTGCCAGTCAGAGTGTCTAAAATGAACAAATCAGGAGACTATAGATGCTGGCGAGGATGTGGAAAAACGGGAACCCTCTTTCACTGTTGGTGGGAATGCAAACTGGTGCAGCCACTCTGGGAAACAGTGTGGAGGTTCCTTAAAAATATTAAAAATAGACCTACCCTATGACCCAGCAGTAGCACTGCTAGGAATTTACCCAAGGGATACAGGAGTACTGATACATAGGGGCACTTGGACCCCAATGTATATAGCAGCACTCTCAACAATAGCCAAATTATGGAAAGAGCCTAAATATCCATCAACTGATGAATGGATAAAGAAGTTGTGGTTTAAAAAAATGATGGAATACTACGTAGCAATGAGAAAGAATGAAATATGGCCCTTTGTAGCAACGTGGATGGAACTGGAGAGTGTTATGCTAAGTGAAATAAGTCATACAGAGAAGGACAGATTCCATATGTTTTCACTCCTATGTGGATCCTGAGAAACTAGTGGAAGACCATGGGGAAGGGGAAGGAAAAAAAAATGGTTAGAGAGGAGGGAGCCAAAACATAAGAGACTCCTAAAAACTGAGAACAAACTGAGGGTTTATGGGGGGTGGGAGGGAGAGGTGGGTGGGTAATGGGTATTGAGAAGGGCACCTGTTGGGATGAGCACTGAGTGTTGTATGGAAACCAATTTGACAATAAATTTCATATTAAAAAAAACTGGTTATATTCATAATTTGCTCATGGAATTAAGGAAACCGTCACTTTCAAGTGTCTAGTTAAATACAAGCCAGGACCAGAATGAAGAACACATGTTAAATGTGGCCAGCTATCAGGAATCATCTACCTTGCCCTGCCATCCAAACTTCTTGACATCACTTTGATGCACCCATTACCCAAGCTCTGTAATTGAGTTAATGTCCTCTTCTTCACAATTAGACTGTACTTCCTAAAGGCAAGAAATGTCTTTAGTTCATCTTTATATTCTCAAGGCAGGTAGCAAAGTATATATCCCCAATATCCTCTTGTTGAACAAATAAGTTCAATGCACATCATTCAGAAAGAATTAGTTGCTAACACTGAAATAGCCAGGGTCCAGATACTCATTTAAATTATGTATCTTAAGCAAGACTGAAAAGAGAAGTCACCTGTCTTCTGTGATATGCTCCAAATGGTGTTCAAAGTATTTGCCTTGCTAGCTGGAGAGCTTAAGCACAGCACTGTTCTGATACTACCATTTGATGCATTACTGACGCTTGGATTTCCTTTGACTTCAGGAGGAATCACTGAAGGATGCTTGGCATGTGTGTTCATTTGGCCCAGAGTTTCATGAAGAATTCAAGGCTTCTGGAAGTCTATTCCAAAATAAGCCAGATTCAGATGCCTGGGTGGCTCAGTCGGTTAAGCGTCCAACTCTCAGTTTCAGCTTAGGTCATGATCTTAAGGTTGATGGGTTCAGGTCCCACATCGGCGGGCTCTGGGCTGGTGGTACGGAGCCTGCTTGGGATGCTCTCTCTCCCTCTCACACTACCCCTCCCCTGCTCATGCTGTCTCTGTCTCCCTCACAATAAATAAACAAACAAAGTTAAAAAACACACAAATAAGCCAGATTCTAATTTCAGTCCCAGAACCTTATACTCTTCCCCAAAACATACCAATCCAAGATGTAACTATGAGACACAGAAAGGTAAAGTCATCACAATTGTGCAAAGACTCCTAATTGTGCATGAGAAACATTTTGCATGAATAACAATAAATCTCAGCAAATTAATTTTAACTATTAATTTAAATACCCACATATCGCAATGCATTTATCATTAAGGATGTACTTAAATTTAAGCGAAGATAATATTGTGAAATATTATGACACCCATAATTATAAAATAATTTAGTGTTTGCAGACTAATTTATCACTGAATTAGTTTTTAATAGCATATTACCATTTTGCATTCAAATATGATTAATTAACAATGGATTCCCTCTTCTACTTTCTTCCCTCTCCTCACCGATACTGATAAAATAAGGAATCCAAACGAAAAACACAATGGAAAGTTCATAATAAGGAGGCTGGAAAATTCTACCCACTGTATGACTGACACCTGAAGAGCTGAGAAGATAAATCAGGGAAATTATTTGTGATAAGGGAAATTCATGGAAATCATGCTGTTACCTATCAAAGGGGGGAGAAAAACTATCTGCATCTCTCCAAATAAACCCCCAATGACAGACTCTATTACAATTCTAAATCAGCACTGGCAACTTTGCATTCATTTCTACATCATTCCTTTAAACCTCAGAGACAGCACGGCCTTCCTCCATCTAATCCTTTCCCCAGATCTTAATTCCATCCCTCCCTCATCTTGTTCAGAACCTAGTTTCATCACTTCTTTTGTTTCTCAGACCTTTTCTCTCCCCAGGCTTCTTTATCTCAACTTATAAACACACTACAACATCACCCAATCTCCCTATCTTCCTCACAGGCATTACCTTCTAGCTGTCATCCCTTTTTACCTTTTTTCCTTCCTTTCTGTTCAGGATCATCAAAAAAGCTGTTTAAACTCTGCTCTACTCCCCTTTCATTCACTCTCACACCTCTGCAATTTGCCTTTCATTGAAAAGTACTTTCCCTAATGCCCCAGTGGCTACTTTTAAAACAGATTATCAAAGGAACACTTATGGGTCCTTCTTTCACATTGAACCCTTTGTAACATTGAGCACTGCTGACCTTTCCTTCCTTAACATTCTCTCTTCCTTGGGTTTCTGGTATAACAATTTCTTCTTATCTTTAATAATCCCTGAACTTTGAATTTAAAACCTGGTTCCTTCACTCTCTCTGTAGCCTTGGGTGAGTTGTGTGAACTCAGGTGTTAGTTGTACTGAACAAATCAGCCTTTGACCTTTCCAGCTGTCAGTCTGGGTCCCAGTGGGCAACGGAAGCCATACTAAAGAGAATCTAATCAAGGGAGTATTACGAGGATGGTGATGCAACAGGAAACCATTACTAGAGCCAGGATGGAGCTAGAAACTTGATAAAGGAACTATGGTCATGGAAGAATTCAGTCACTGCCCAAAACACAGTAAAGCTGGTTTGGGAAGAGGTAAATGCCCTGACCATCTCCTACTCCTACTAACCTCCAGTCTTCTTCTGGTGCCTTTCATTGGTCAAACCTAGCTGGAAACCCAGAGCATAGAGGCTGGGTGATGTAAACTCTAGAGCTCAGCCTCCTGAGACACATAGCAAGGTAGAGAAGGGGAGAGGATGAATCCAGATGGAGAACCAACAGGGAACAGCCAGGGCATGAGCACACTCCCTACCACTCCCTTATTCACTTAAAGATATTTAATGTTCCAGCAACTATTCTAGGGAATACAGAGGATTGCAAGACAGAAAAGATGGCCACTATCATTGTGCTTTCCTTCTCCTTGGGGAAGGCAGTAAGCAATAACCATACAAACTTCAGATCATAGATACAAATGAAGAAAAGGACTACCATGACTCTAACGTAGACTCTATCTCTGAGATGACAGAACTTAAATAAGAAGGAAGGAATAATAATCTTTCTAGACACTAGGGGATGAGTGTTTAAACAAGAGAGATTAGCAGGGGAAGAGTGCAAACATGCTGAAGTGGAAACCAGTTTGGCTTATCCCAGGGAGACAGGAGATCAGTGTGGCTGGAGGGAGGGTGGCAGGGGATGAGGCAGGAGTGGTTGGCAGAGGCTAGATCACAAAGGGCTTGGTAGACCAGGCAAGGAGTTGGTGGGGGGAGGTTCACTAATGCAACAGAAAGGTTTTAGGCTGGAGGTGGGAGGTCAGAGTGTTTGTAAGTTAAGATATACCTACTTTCCATTTGTAAAATATGCTTCCACAATTCTGTGAAAAATAAGTTGTGGCAGGACAAGAATCCTGGTACAGTTTGCATCGCCCTGACTCGAGTTCCCACATTCAGGATTGCTGGGTGGTGTTTTGTGTAGGGGTGGCACTGTTTGGGTCAGGTCATGTGCCTGACACATGAGTAGCCCAACGATAGACTGGTTGGCAGCCCATGATGTGGTTTAGAGATAAGGGCTCTTGCAACTAGGCTGTGCTCCTCTGAAATGTGGATTAGAGGATAAGAAGATAATTAGTAGTCGGTAGTGTAAGGACAGATCAAAGAGGCAGAGAAAAATGGAGATCCAATGGGAAATAAATGAGAACAGCTTCTCTCTAGAGGTGACTTGGTTCCTAATAACTACTCATATATCCATGTAAACATTCCTGTTTTCATCCTTTCAGTTAAGGTGGTCACTGGGTCTCTCCTTCTTGCACGCACAACAGTCTAATGAGTGCACTAATGTCCTCAAGATTCATTCATTCTTCTTCTTCACGTTAGTCAGAAGTGACAAAGATCTGCTCTGGTAACAAACCCCTGAAATCTCAGTTGCCTAAAACAACCAGTGTTTACTTCTCACTCACTTTAAATACCCATCATGAGGTGAATGGGACTCTTTTTGCATCATCCTCTCTCCAAGACCAAGACTTACAGAGCATATACTCTCTGGAACATTGTTGATTGCCATGGCAAAGGGAAAAAGAGTTCCGGAAGGTCTTGCATCAGCAATTAGATGCTAGGCTCACAATTCATGACAGAGTGTGTCACGTGGCTCATCCCAGCTACAAGGAAGCCAGGAAATGCAATCCTACTTGTACCTGAAAGAGAACAGAAAATATTTGATACACTCACCACCATTCACTCGTCTATAACCACGGCTTTAATTGCTGCCTATATACCAATGTTAACATTTCTAGGAGATGCCCCATTTTCACTCCTTATCCATATTTTCAACTACCTACTGGAATGCCACAATTGGATTATATCATAGACATTTCAAATATCAAGTACCAAGACTGTACCCTTTATCTTTCCCAGAAACTTTGTGTTCTTTCTCTTGGTTAATGGTCCCATTATCAAGCCACTATATCAAATAAGAAACCCTGATGTTATCTTTGACTCCTCCCTCTCTTCCAACATCCAAGATGTTTTCCTCTAGTTTATTCTCATCCTACTAACTCCATGACCATTAGTTCAGCCCTCCATGGGTTCTTGTCCAGAAAATTCTGTTAGCCTCCTGTCTGGTTTTTCCTGCCTTAATAGGTTTTCCTATAAACTGTGATCATTTATTCATTCAACAAGTATTTATAGAGTGCTTGCTGATTTTTAGTGCTCAGGTAAGTAATGGGCCCACCTCGAAATTCAGTCTAAAGACAAAGACAGTGATGCAAATAAAAGTTTCAATACAGTGGACAAATGTGATGATAATTATGTAGCAAATAGTGTAGAAATGGAAAGGAAACATCAAGTTGTGTGTGGTGGTGATAGGAAGGTAGTTCTGGAAGCTTTTAGAGCAGAAGAAAAACTTCAGCTAACTGCTCTACCATGTGAACCACAGCAGTTGGAAAACGTGAAGGAAGCAGTGAAGGAAGTAGCATGTGTCTGATATCACTGAGGTACTTTTCCTGATTCAGCAAAATCAACGTGGATTGAGAACGACATGAAGGAGCAACCAGGAACCTGATCAATAAGGACCCAAAGCGTCCTGGTCAGTTATCGAGCAGGCAAGTGGTGGAAAGTCATTCATCGAGATAAGAAACTCTAAAGGAAGGGCAGGTCTGTGGGTCTTTTAATTATGGATACTTCACATAGTTGAACACTGATTCCAGGCATAGTGCCAAGCATCTTACTTTATTACAGCTGACCCTGGAAAAATGTGGGGATCTGACCCCTACACAGTCAAAAATCCCTGTGTAAATTCTGACTTCCCCCCCAAATTAACTCCTAATAGCCTACTGTTGACTGCAACCTTAGCAATAATTAGTTGGTTAACACACATTTTGTATATGTATTATATATGTGTACATATATATATTTTTATAACAAAGCTAGAAAAAAAGATGTTATTATGAAAATCATAAGGAAAATACATTTACAGTACTCTACTGTGTTTATTGAAAAAAATCTGAGTATAAGTGGACCCATGCAGTTCAGACCCGTGTTGTTCAAGGGTCAGCCGTATTTTATTTAATCCTCACAACAATTTTACATAGTAAAGTTGTACTATGATGTTCATTTTACAATTTAAAAGCAAACACTGGGATTCAGAGGTCAATGACTTGACTACACACACACTTAGTAAATCTATCTGTTTTGCATTGGAGCCCAAGTTGCCATGATGAACTCCACCTGAATGTGTCCACAGACTGGGGCACAAGGGAAGGACGGGCTTGGTGGTCATCAACACATGGGAAACACGGTGGGGTCAAAGTTATGGGCATGAATGAGAGGGCTCAACCAACTCTAAAAAGGGAGAAGGAAAGAGGACCTGGGGAACATTAAAGTTAAAGGGCGGAAACCAGCAAAAAAAAAAGTTTGAGGAGCCACTGGATAGTGCGAATCCTTACCAAATGTCTTTCTGTGAACCTTTTTGAGAAGTCCCTAGTCCAAGTGCCTGGCATTCCGTAATGGACGTTTGGGGTCAGAAGGGGCATTCCGTCAAGGATGGGCCTTTCTACCTAATTTCTTCATCCCCTGAAGGACCAAGCGGTGACGTGAAACTCGCACGGGGACTTCACTACCTGGGGAGGTAAACAATTAGCAAATTCTCCTCAGAGCACATCAAGAACTCTTCTCCCTCCAGTGTCGCCAAAGGAGCTGTGGATGTGAGCGTCTCAAGAGTCGCTCCGACGGATCAGAGGTTACTGCAGAAACGCCCAATAAGCAATGGGCAAGGATCCAAGCAGCTTGCGGACTGGGACTGGGTCCGGGAGCAAAGAGCGCGCGCCCGGATACGAGGCACGCGCGCGCCCGCCAGCGGAGGCCGGGAGCGCGCTGGGCCCCCAGCCCGTCACCACACCCTCCACTTGACGGCCCCCTCCTCCCCTCTCCGGTGCCCGCGTCCCCTCGGATCCTTCTCTCCTCCAAACGGCTCCCCCAGCAGCCCCAGCCCCGGCCGGACCACCCCGGCCGCAGACCCCCTCCAACCGGTCCTTGTAGTGGGCTGGACTGTGCGTCACGGGGGGCGGTGCCAGAACGCCGCTCGCGCTAGGCCCCGCCCCCGCGCCGAGGCCCCGCCTCCTCTGGCCGAAAAGGGGCGGGCCCGGCCGGTGCTGGGTCCAGAGTTTTCACACTCTCCGCCGGACCCGTCCCTCCGCCGCTGAGTCCTTACCCTCACCCCGGGCCGTCTCCTGCCCCCTGAGCGGACGCAGGGAGTCGAGGCAGGGCGTGAGGGGCGCCATGAAGGGCCGCCGCCTGACAGGCGCCGCGGCGGGGGGGCTGGCCGGCTGAGGGCCCGCGCCGGCCGAGGCATGTGGAGCCCCGGCGGGAGCCTGCTCCAGGCACTCCCCCGGCTCCTGCAGCACGCCGCCCTCCAGGGCCGCGCCGAGCTGCC